ACTCAATGCAATTCCTCCGCAGTTTCAAACAAAACCGCCTTGACTAGCGCGAGAACATCTTGTGCATGGCTCTCCAGTTCCACCAGTAAATGTATGCGTTGTAGAAAAGGAATGTGAGCACCACGGTGTTCAGCTGCGTCGCTCCGTCAAAGTCAGTAAACAGCGCGGAGAAAAGTGCCAGACGAAAAGTCTCCCCAATCGCCGCGAGTAGCAGCGTCCAGCGATTGAGAGGCTCGTAGGCAACAAGTATCTTCGGCAGAGCCAAGTAGAGAAGAAATACGGCGAGCAGCATCGCCCCCTGTGGGCTATCGGAGGCCCTGTCAAACCACACCACGGTGGCCACAGACAACGGCTGCTGCAGAACACTCAACCGAAAGACGCATACGAGGTCGAGCAGTACGACCATCGCTATGGAGTACCACTGAATAAAAAACATGAACTTCAGCAAAACCAGCTCACAGTCCTAATAGAAAATGGGGCAAATGGAAGATACAACAAGCAGAAGGGTGGTGGCAGGGTGTCCCGTGACAACAGGCGACCCGTACATGACAATGTCCTAAAATGTGGTGACATGGAACACGTGTTGTGCATGCCCATCGCAGACAAATATGCGTACGCACGAGTTTACACACCATCATGTCAGAACAAAAACAGGAATGTCAGACAAACACACACACAAAGAAACTGAGAGAGAGACAAATAAATTTTAAAAAAGGGAGTCTACCTGTTCTTCTTCTCATGGAGAGTGATTTCGCCTCTACGGGTAGGTGTCCTGAACGCCTGTAAGCCGAAGACAACGCAATTTGCTGTCATAACCGCCAAAAGGACGTAACACACCACTGAGGCAGGGCCCTGCTTCACCCACCAGAGCAACATAAAGAGGCAAAGCTCCAGGACGTGCACCAGAGCGTTATGAATCCGAATGAGTCGATGTCGTGGCAGGTACGCCAAAAGAAATCGTGATGTGACCAACAGTACGAGTACCCCCATGTACATGCAAGCATATGAACGCCGCTTGAAGGGCGTGACGCTGTCAAACCACGGTGTCACCTCGTCAAGGGTACCGCCGCAAAAAATTAAAATTATCGTGAGCAGCTCAAACAGCCCCAAAGCGACGGTGTACATCGTGAGTACGCGGGTCATCCCCTCTTCTGCTTTCCCTCCCCTTTTGCCTTTAAAAACATCAGCCACCGCGCACCAAAAACAAGTAGAAAGAAAAAAGGACAGTGTAAATGTGTGCACCGCACAAAAAATAAAAAAAAAAGGTTTGAAAAAGAACGCCCAATCGAAAGTGGTAGTGACGTAATTCATTGAGCATAGTATCCAAATCAACCCTCGCCATCACCGGCACACACGCACATACGGAAATTCAAAAAAAAAAAAAACCTTTATTCATCATCACTCTCATCATCATAATAAAACTTCTCTTCATCGCTATCATCGCTGTCATCGCTGTCATCATCGCTGTCATCATCGCTGTCATCAGCGATCTCATCGCTCTCTTCGCTCTCTTCGCTCTCATCGCTGTCATCGCTGTCATCGCTGTCATCGCTGTCACTCCCATCCGCATTCTTGCCTCCTTTCTTCTTTTTCGCACGCTTGTACTTCGCTTTAAGCTCCTCCAGCGGCACCGCCTTTTCCTCCTCGAGGTCCTTCAGTACCACGTCGAGATTCTCCGCAATTTTCTTCTCCGCCTTGCGTAGAGTCGACTCATCGTCCTTGAAAGCCGCCGATGGGATGTACGCCGCGTCGTCGTCAACACTCAGCCCGCATTGCCTTGCAACGTCCAAGTAAATGTTTCGGAACGACAGCGCCTGTTGGTGCCACTCAGTCCCCTTTGCGTTGTACTCCAGTGCGTTGGCAATCATCTGCGCAACGGCGTTCTGCACATCCGCATCGCTGTCGTACTTTCCGGACTCAATGCCCTGACGAATTGTCGACAGGTCAACGGGATAATTTATGACCTTGTGGTAGTCCGGCAGCTCCGCAGCGCTGATTGGGTGGTGAAACATCTTGAGCTTGTCCTTGTCCCAAAGCTGATGTACAAAAGCAAGGCAGCGCGGCTTGTCCAAAGTCCCCTCACGCCCACGCTTCCCCATCACCCCCCGATACTGTTACCTCCAGGCCTTTCCTGTTGTTGTTGTTGTCTTTATTATTTCAACGGCTTTCTTTGTTTTCTGTGTGCCTCGTCTTTTATCCTTTGCGACCTGACGCGCGTTTGTGTGCACCCGCGGAGCGGCATTCAGTAAAAAAAAAAAAAAAACGGAGAATTCCTTCAATAAGTGTCGTTCCTCTTGTCGCTGGAGAAAGGAGGGGCATCCACAGTGAAGACTGCCATGGAATGGTGTACCCGCGACAAGTGAGAAGAGAGGGGATTGTCCCACAAAATAAAAAAAAAGAATAAAACCACAAAACAAACCTCTGGCAGAAAAAAAGCAAAGGCAAAAAAAAACTCCCTTTCGCCTCCTCACCGCCACTTCTCGCCGCCCAACTTCTCCCCTCTTTGCCGCGTAAGCGACCAGTATCGCCCTTTCATCGTTAAATCCCGGTAGTCGTGCAGCTTGCCGCGGGACGCGGCGTTTTGATAGCCGTCAAAGTCTTCGCCCAACCCGCTAAAGCCGTAGGGGTCAAGCTGTTGATCAACAAGTGATAAATTCTCACCGTCTCTATCCTCAAGTCCCTCGGCTACGGCAAAAACACCCAAGTTTTTCGCGCGAAAGTTCTTTTCCAATGTGAACGCCTCCCTTTGCCGCTGGGCATGGCGGATTCCCTCCTGATGCTTCTTCTTCCGGAAAACCTCCTCACACATGAACTGCAGTGCGGGCGTCAGTCCAGCCTCTGTGTGCCATGTACCCAATGAGATGCCAAGTGCCGCGGAAATGGGAAATACTGGTAACTTCACCCGTTTACGAAGTTCCTCCAGTTTGTTTGTCAACAAAGCCCCACTACTGTCCGTTTGCAGATCCATCTTGTTAGCAAACACCATAACTGCTCTGTCACTCAATCCAGGCATGTAGTATTCCAGCTCCCCTCGCAGTGCATCAACGATATCCCACGGCTCGGATGGCACTTTGTTATCCTCTGGTGTGTATGATCCAGACATATCCACAACATACGCTAATGATTGTGTACGCTCAACGTGACGCAAAAACTGATGCCCCAGACCTCGATTTTCATACGCCCCCTCAATAAGTCCAGGCAAATCTGCAACCCTGCAGGTGTTCCCATACAAATCGTGGATTACACCAACATATGGACGAAGTGTTGTAAATACATATGGTGCAATCATTGGTTTACTCGTGCTGATGGCGGAAAGCAAAGAAGACTTACCTGCGTTGGGATATCCAATAAGCCCTACGTCTGCGATCGTCTTCAACTCAAACTGAACAAGCATTGTGTTTCCCGGTAGTCCACGCGTTGATTCGGTTGGGGAATGATGCCATTTGTTTGCAAAGGCCGCATTTCCCTTCCCTCCTTGTCCACCTTCTAGTAGCAGCAGCTCCATCCCATCCTCGTCCACGTCATAGACCACCTCGTTTGTGTCCAAATCCACCACCTCTGTGCCAACAGGAAGTTCCAGCAGTAAATCTTTCCCCCTTTTGCCGTGGGCGGTACGGGCAAACCCAACGCTCCCAGGCGACGCAGTGATTTGGCTCCCCATCTCTTTGAGGTGGGAAAGATCGGCAATTCTTTTGCTGCACCGCAACATCACATTGCCGCCATTCCCCCCATTCCCACCTCCAGGCCCCGCAAACTCGTTCCCGTTTTCATGCGACATGACGCTTGCCCCGTCACCTCCAGCACCGCTGGAGACCAACATCTTTACGGCGTCCACGAATGGATGACTTCGCCTGCTGAGACAGCACGAACACCCCCGCAACATCGGCACGCAAACTTCCCAAAGAAACCAAATTAAACCAAAAAAAAAAAAGGAGAAAACGTAAAGAAATGTGTATGCATTACAAGTAAAATCCTCACTGGAAGTCACCCAATAAAATAACGGCATTCATTTATATATATATACATACATATATGTACAGACGTACTGGTTAATATGCATAACGAAAAAGAAAATGCAAAACCGCGGCAACGCCCACCCACCAACCAAAGCGGCAGGGCATCGCCCTACTTCAATTATAGAAAAGTTTTATACGGCTTCTCAATTGTTGTTGTTGTTGTTGTTGTTTTTTTTTTTCTTGTCTCTTCTTCTTTTTATTATTTTTATTTTTATTATTTTGCCTCCTGGATTATATATTCACCTGTAAACGAGGAGACAAAGAAGAAGAATTTAGAAAAAAAAAAAAAAAAGGATAGCCTGCGTCCTACAAGTAGAGCGATGATACAAACACAATGTCCCTCTTGATCAACTGAATGCCCTTAAGAAACTTATCGTGCAACTCCATGCTACCAATGGCAGGGGACCGTGCCGCACCAGCCATCTGCCGCAGCTGCTCTTCAAGGCGTCGCATCATCCGGACAATTTCTCCCTCGTATGCACTTGTCTTGCTCATGATGTCCACAAACTTGGCTCCTTTGGCCCACATGTATGTGACCTCCATCAGCGAGGGCATCGTCCTTTCCACACTCACGCCTCCCTCCTGTAAAACACCACTCTCGATGCTCACCGTTGCAATACGACTTACAATTTCGTTGAGTTCTTTCAGAGGCTGTTGAAACTCCTCCGGGAGCGAAAATCCATCCGGGGTGCGGTGCACATTCACCAAGCCATGACATCAAGGCGA